TGTAAATTCCAGCTTCATCTTTAGACTTTGACTCAAAATGGCTGAATGTGTAGTGACTCGAAATGGCGATTTTCGACTCACCTTTTCGAAACCGATATCTCATTGACCATCTGTCTATCACAAATGCAATCGTAACGGCGCAAATATTCCAACTGCTGACAAGCCCCTATCTTCCAAAGTAGTTTTTCAGCTTTGTGGCCAAAGTTCAGCATTACCCTCCCGGACAATTACATCAGCATTGGACAGAATCCACAACCGGCTTTTGACATTGAAACGATTAATCTGGTCAATGTTTTACTGGTGAAACTATGGATTGTATAAATCAAGTGTACATAATGATGTTTATAAATAATTCACTTTTTTTGTAAAACGAAAATATTTAATAATTATAAAATGGAGTGCATCGTCATGGTGCAAAAGATATTTCCGGTTCCATTCTTGCAATTTATGAAAATAAGTTTTCATATGTTGTAGTTCATTTCATTGTATTTTATGGTATGGGCAGGAATGAACAAGCTCAGCCTTTATTGTTATCCGCTGCTGCTTCGCTGTTAATATTTTCGCATTAGACTTTGCAGCTTTATAGTGCTAATAAAGGTGAACTATATGTAGGTAATACGGTAACATTGAATTAGGTTGTCCAGAAATTAATGCAGATTTCGCAAGATCTCACTTCAGTGTGCTATAACTACTTGAAGGCAGTGTCTCACCAAAGTTGAGGTCGCGCGGATTTTCACATATTCTATTATAGGGACCTCTGAATAGGCCATTGCAACAAGTCCCACTCAATTTGACCCCCTCCACGCTGAGAAAAATTCGCTCAAAGTGGTACGCGGAGAGTGAGCTGGTACGCGCGGACGACTCCTTCGGTCTCCTCCCTTAAGCGTTGAACATGTCCTTCCACTTGGCATCCACCTCCTTTCTGTTGCTGCCATTGTGGCTGAGGCTGAAGTTGGAAGGTACCACCCGTCCACGTTGCTTCCGCGAAGCCTCCAGAAAACGGGGTTTTTGGGAACTTCGTGCGATTTTAGGCCCACACAGTGCTAGACAAGGTCCGACAGGCTTGCAAAATGCAAAAATCTCGACAACCAAATTTTGGTGAGACACTGCCTTTAGAAAATTGCGTTTTTCGAAACAGGGTAAGATCGACTGTGATCAGCAAATTTCTATCTATCTAGTGCATGTCGACTTATACCTGTAGCTCCAACAAGCAAATTACTGCAACCAGAAAGTAAGAAGAGTTTTCTTTAGCAAGGTTATCTTTGGCAAGTTGGAAACTCCTATCGGATAAGATTGTTCAGCAAGGAACTTCGCAGTTTATGATCACAAAGCAGTACTACAATATAGCTGTGCAAAAATTTTTTTAGGAATTTCCTGCCGGAAGAATTGCGGAACCAATTTCCATTTTTCCGATATTCTCTGTACGGCTGCGAGATTCTTTTTTCGTGGAGCTCAACTGCCGCCATGCCCCATTTCTCTGAAATTTCGGGGTCAGGGGTCCGCGAAAATTGCGGCATCCCAAAAAATCCTTCGAAGTGCGTGGCTAATGCCACGCACTTTCATTCAAAAATTTTTTTGTCCCTCCCTCTCCCCTCCCCCTCCCCCCCCCCCGAACGAAATCCTGGGTACACCACTGTCACTCACCAAAATAAAGCCTGGGGAGTACCAGTTATGCACCAGACCACTGGCCCCACTCTTCAAGCACGGGAAGAGACTTTCACGGTTGCTTTCTTTGGAAAAAAAATCTTCTACTCCGTGGAGCGGCCGCGACAGTTGTTTATGCTAGAGCCTAAATTCCTCTGCTTACACAACTGTTGAAAGAAAGTGCTACTGTTCTTTTTGTAGGCTCACTCAGCGTCTTGCTTGAGCTATATTGTCATGGAAACACTCCTCTTGCCGAATAAGCTTAAGCCAAAATAGTTCAAAAGGTAAATTTTGTGATTCAACCCTTCATCTTCGAATGATTCGAAGAATCAAATGGAGTTTATCGTAGAAGTAAGATATGCAAGAGAGAGCATGAAGAGCGCTTTCTTATAGTACGCAAGGTTAGTCTCAAGATGTACATATACAGAAAAACGATCACTTTGAAAATGCGTTTGCAAAAACCCCCAACAATTTCCGGACAACCTAATATTAGGTTGAACTAAGAGAAGAAATTGCTTTTTGACTCCTTGTCATGGCATCGTAATAAGACAAACCCAAAAGACTTGTGTTGAGGACCGTTTGATAGGGAAGCATTACTGTTTTTGCATCAAGTTTGTTTCATGTGAAGAAGGAATCTAAAAAAGTCTCAAATAACCGAAAAATCAAGAAATTCGTAACTCTGTCTAAAAAATTTCAACGGACCCGCAATGTGTACGGCTTACGTCCCACTTCAAGCATTCGTATTCGCGGTTGCTGTAATCTTTCCTTGGCTAGACATTAAAAGATCAAAAATTTCCACTCTTTTGCCAAAGTGATCCTGGCTGTTTCGCGTGTTTAGTTCTATACACTTAGTTTGCGAACACAAACGGTAGATATTCAGCTTTCTGCAAGAGTTAGTTCTCGGAAAATAATAAATCTAGCTTTTTAAGTTAAAATCGTCTGAAGAGGTTGGAGATCTACTGCTATTAAATAGTGCAGAACCAGACACGCGGGAACAGCTTAACATCACTTTCGCAAAAGTGCGAAAATTTTGGACTTTCTAATGTCTAGCCAAGGTAAATTTACAGCTACTGCGTATATAAATGTTTGGTGAAAGACATAAGTCCCTGTGCAAGTTGTTGGTAGGAACTAACGAAACATGAATTTTTTTGGTTTTCGGTCATTTGAAACTTTTTAGATTCCATCTTCCGACTTCATGGACATACCTATTAAAAAAGCCTTCTTGTATAGCTCCTTTGCTCCATCGAATGGCACCCATTACTTGTATTTGGAGTTTGTCTTTGTTGCGATGCTAAAAACAAATCAGCGTCCTACACGATTTTTGCGTTAGGCCCTATAGTCTTCTCCAGGACGCCAAAAAGACGGTTGAGTCAATCTCGAGTCAATCTAAATTAAGCCAAACCTTCAAAATGTTCACACAAATATTGGGTCGTTTTATCATGCAGCTATCATTTTGTCATTTTTTATAAGGATCTACCTGGTTAAAATTACGATCCGCTCAGCTTTGGTTCTAACTTATTTTTCAACCAAGAAACGCTCATAACTTGGTGCAGAGGAGCTTTGCAGATACTATGAGTAGTTGTGTCTAAAATTACTTGTTAAAACCAAATCTAAAAAATTGTCCTTATCATGAAAACGACGGCTTTCGGATAATATTAGGTTGATTCATAATTAATGCACGTTTTTCGAAATTCATTTTCAAAGCGCCGTAATTCTTTTCCCACAACATCTTTCAAAGAGCAATAAGAACTGTTGCAAAGAGCAAATCTTTGGCTTTACAACGCATACTTTCGTTCATAGATAAATGTGACGAGAAAGTTTGTACAATCCGAAAAATGCCAAGAATTTTTTTTAAAAACCTCTATTTTGAGGAAGCATAACTTACTATTAAAGGTAGGAGGAAAGCGCAAACTTTGTTCATTGCGCAGCCAATGGTCAAGAGAGCAGTGGTAAAAAACCCGGATTTTACGGTATTTTTCTACGACGAGATACTGCAAAAAGTTCAAAAGTGATCATTTTTCCTAGCTTCTTCAGAAGAGCGAAAAATTGTCTTTTTTGAGAATTTTCAAAATTTTTGCCATTGAAAAGCTGTAAAATTTCACCGTTTTTCTATCACTCAATGTGCAATGTCTATTTTTTGTGTACAAAGCAAAATCGCAGTTATTGGTTCTTGTTTCAAAGTTTTATACGACTTCGAAAGGCCACAATGACTGGCCAAGTTTGTAATTGAATCTCTCATCTCGGAACTTTTGCAAAATTCTGCTTTAAAGATTTTTATAGCAGAAAGTTTCGCGATTGTTAGGCATATTTTTTGAAAATAAAATCTTTTGTTCTCATGGAATTAGAGCAAAAAGAATGAAAGGAAAATTTTTTAAATTTTAGTCTCTCATATTCGGAAGCGTGGAATTCGGTATCATACAGAGTGTCACGAAAAAGAAAGGATAAACCAGAAACTAGAAGAAACGCCCTTTCAGATAGCATTGAAATTTTTGGGGAAGATTCAGTTTCTTTGAAAAACCAGCGCTTGGGAAAAGAGGTGACAAAAACGTGCATTAATTATGAACAAACCTAATATATAGTCTTTTTGAAATTCTTCGTTTGGAGTACCGTACTTGATAAAGGGCGTCTAGACGGCTGTAGGAGGTTTAAAGGCAGCGTCGCACCAGACCGAGGGTACCTGGCTCTCGTAATGATGTAATAGTAGACCCCCTACCTAAGCGATGACTGAAGTTCGGAGCGAAAAAGGGGGTCTACCAAGCCTGAAATTTGCTCCAAAAGTAAGCCAAATCTTACGGTAGGATCGGGCGAGTGCGAGGTGCATGCAAGGTAGAGACGAAGAGTTTCTGCGGGTCCCTGCACTCATGATGTGTGCGCTATATGCACTCTGCCCTGCAAATCAATATTGCCATGTGGGCGGCGTTCGGCCCTACCGTAAGACTCGGCCCACTTTCGGAGCAAATTTCAGGCTTGATAGACCCTCTTTTTCGCTCCGAACTTCAGTCATCGCTTAGGTAGGGGGTCTACTATCACTCATTACGAGAGCCAGATACCCCCAGTTTGGTGGGATGCTGCCTTTAAGCTTACCAAGACAAAAAACCTCGTACTTTTTTTGGATGGGAGACTAAAACACTTGAATTTACAGCTTTTCAAGATTAAAAAACCCAGTAATTTCTCTAGGTGGGAGTTAGAACAACTTGAAGACCATTAAAACAGCTTTGTTCTTCGCCTTCACTCTTGAGACAAATGCCAAATAAAAAAGAATGAAAGATTTTGTGAATAATACCAGTCTTTTATAAAGTCGTTTTAATCTGTAAAGAAGTTTTATCCTTAATTTGTCAGTTAATTGTGGACTTAAGCTAACAAGACAGGTTTAGATCAGCTTTCAATGCTTTTTGATTGTCCGCTTTGCCATCCACGACCATCGCTGCTGAAGACTTCAGACGTCGTGCGAATGCCATGATTTCCTAAATTATAATTTCATTTAATCTACTTAGTCAAAACACATCTATCTGAGGCTTCATCATCTTCAAGTTGAGAAAGAAGATTTGATTTCGAATTGGATCACAACCCTGCATTTATAAGAACTGACAAGAACTAAAATAACGTTTGCCCTCCATCAAAAACGTCGAAAATATGTTTATGAACTGCGCTACTGCAACTTGTGTTTATGAACTGCGCTACTGCAAACTGCAACTTTGAAAACTTTTTTTTGTCTCTTAGTCAGTGACTTGAGCAGCAGCTCACTCATGGCTGACAGCGCTATCATTCCGGGGCAACTGCGGGAGTCGTGAATTGTATTAATATTGCTGCTATCTATGTCTTCCCAATGCAGGCTAGCGTAAATAATAATGGAGATTTTGAAAGGTGCGAAATAGTGCCATCCTCTGCTGGTTGATTTTAGCATTATCTAGGAACGATTGCCATCTTTCTCATGCTCGATTTTATCCTTTTAGATGGGCAACATTTACTTTTTTTCACATTATTTTTACTCGTTAGACAGTACATTTGCCAAATTCCGTTCAAACAATCAAAGATTTACTGATGATTCCTCATATTAGAAATTGTGTACTCAAGGTAGCAAGTTCATTAATGACTTCTGCGTTTTCTTGAAAAATCGAAACTTGCCGTTTTTTTTCTTGATTTTTGTTAGCGGGCGGTTTCAAAACTCTTTTTATTTCAGCATAACCGCGCAACAATTCTTCATTCTGATATGAATTTAAGTTACTATTTAACAAAGCAAGCTCTATAAGTCGGCTTCCAAACACTCATCAAAACTTCATCCTCACAAAATCAAAAGCTAAAGTCTGGAATTCTTTAACAACCTCAAATCGCTTCTCCATCTCAAAGATATGTTACGGATCTCTTAGCTGCTCATGCATATATTCTCCAAATGAGACATGTGAGATTGGTGCGAAAGGTAATGCATGAGTTTATGCGTGATTTAACTTTCAGATCCTGGCCTTGATCTAATATTTTGTCACCAAACATGAAAAGGTTAGCGTTTTACGATAGATGTTTAAACGCAAACTTTTATTGGTTAGCCTTGGAGACTATAAATTTTGCAATTTTGAGTCAGGTCTATGAAAACTGCATCATGGCTAATGATCTTGAGAAAGCTATCGAGTTTTTAGCTGGCTTTAGCTCGCATGATACAAGAACAAAAATTGTTGAAATGTCAAATCACTTAGAAAAAATTCTTCACTACAAATTTTTGCGAAAACACACTTCAAAGCACACAGACTTCCAGTGCTTGAGATTTTATGTAAAATTGCAACCTGCTGCAATGTTGCATGACTAATGTTGTACTGAAAAATCACAGATATGGGTAAGCTGGTGTCATTGCAGATTTTTGCGACCACACTATAGATGTCCGTACGAATCGCCCAGCTGAACACCCGAGAGCGCGTCTCTCGAAGGCTAAGATTGGCATTGGCGCGCATGAGTCATCATAATGCCCGCACCCGGTAGCCACGTTGCAGGCACGCCCGCGGGGCCGGTAGTAATCTACCCTACCTGGCGGCATCAAAGATGCCGCCAAGTTGGCACACATCAACGGAAAGTTGCCATCTTCGGCGGCAGCTCGCGGAGTAATTCTAGGTTTTGATAATCTTACTTAACCTTAGTACGCAATATTTCGCACATTAATTTTTGATGATCCACACAGCCGCAAAACTGGTGCCTCGCGCGGGGTCGAACCTAAGTGCGTTAACTTCAAGTGCCACCACGTTAACCATTCGACCATTCGGTCAATCATTGACGGTTGCACCAGCAATAGGAGGAACGCAGTGGTAAGTGGCCGCCTGTAAGAGGGCTCGATACATTGCGTGAGAGACTTTGACCTGAAAGAACAGCTGATTGATATGAGCGAGAGAGGGCGAAATCGGTGCAAACGAGATTTGGAAGGGATTTTCAAAAAAGATGGTGTTCTTTATGGTTCTCAGGCATTACTAGATTTTTTCTCTGTAAGAAAATCGTCGTTTCAAAAAAGAAAAACTCACATAATGAGAAAAATGATAGTTTCTTGATGGAAAGTAGAATTTTTCGATTTTTTCGCCCGACGTAAATTGTGTGATATGCCGCACTACCCAAACTTGCAGACGGCGCCAGCAAGGTGCCACCACCTCGACATGGTAGGGGCACGTCAGGATGGTGGCACCTTGATCTCTCAAAAGAGCACGCTATTTTTCGTGCTCTCTGACCTGGCGGCATCTCTCAGCGCTGAAATTTCGACGAGATGCCGCCAGGTCAGAGAAGCTGCCGCCAGCACCTCCTGCCTCTACAAATCTGTTTAGGGAGGTTTTTAGCACCCTCAGTTGCCAGGTAAGGTTCCCTAAGGTCACTATGACCTCCTCGACCAAAAATACGTGTTAAAAGGGTTGGGAGGGCACAGACTTGAGGTCGGAGTTCGCGCCGACTTCACGTATAGATGACGCCGACCTAACGGCGAAACATGCCGCCAGGTCAGGGGGATTACTACCGGCCCTGGAAGTCCAGCCTACAGCGATATGGGCGATTTCACGCAATCGACCTCATTAGTTGTCGTGAAACGACAGACGATACACAACCAATTACTCTACGATATACAAGTAATCAATGAGCTGAACCCTTGTATTGTGGTTATGTTTATTTTTAAAAATATGCTTTGCGCGCCTGTTTCTCAGCATCACATAAGATGATAACCGAGTTAACTTCAAGGAATCCTCGAGCGCAGCGAGAAGTTGCTCCATCATTTCTCTTAGAATGTTTCACATTTCTTTCTTATCTCATGCCTTAATCTAGATTTCTGATATATGAATCGTTGAAATAGCAATATTCTTCTACTGAGATTTTTTCAAGGCCAGTAGAAGAACTAAAAGGCAAAATCAAGTATTGTGAGCAGCTTTCAGACGAATGCCTGATTTTCTTTGCTTGTCATAGGATGGGATTGGCTTGATAAGGAAGTTTACTACTGAAATCCACAAAAATCAAAAGTGGCTTGAATTTGGTGAGACAAGGTATGAAATTTTCTCGTTTTTTTGGATCTGCCGTTAAGACTCTTATGACAGTCGCCGATTAGTGGTTGATCAACACAGATCTTCTCTGAATCCTATAGTGATTTTTCATTATTTTATACCATTGCAAGTTATGCTCGAAATTCTTCGTAGCCTTATTAGGTTGTTGCATAAGTTATCCAATTTGAATTTTGAGGTCAAAATGTCATAACTTCTTTCGAAGTCAACTTTTTTCCAAGATCTTAATCTTCTTATATTGAGCAGCTCCCTGGCTATCAAATACATATTGAAACCTGCGAAAATTCATATTAAGGAAGAAGCAAGAAATTAAAAACTTTACAGCGTTTTTCTTCTAACCTGCCTTTTTTGGCAGGGCAATGCTCCCTTATGAAAATTAATAGGCATCTTGAATTTTTCGGAGATTATTTTGCACCATAAAAGAGCCCGTAGTCTGCGTTGCCGGAAGATTTTTTCAACCGAACAAATTAGCCACTTAGTGACCTCGCTTTAGCGCATGTGTGCATGCCTATTTACGAATTATGAAAATTTTACAATTGACGTGAGCGCCGAAGAAAATTGGTGGATGGTTTTTCCTAGCCCTTGCATTACTCTAGCATTTTCAAGTTGAAGTCGTCGTTTACTTTTATTCGCAGAAAGTTATAGCTTGTAAAACATCTATACAGAAAGTTAATGTTTGACAATAAATTTTACTAGCAAGACGTTTTCTTTATGAAACTGAACTTGTGCGTATGCTTACTACACCCTCCGCAACCAATTAAAGAACTTGATTTGAAGCATTGTGGAGATTTCCTCGCAAGAACTCATTTTTAGGTGAGAACGTACCTCGACCACTTGGAGGTTTTAGGCCTGCAATCTCCTTACACTAAGAAATTTATTGAAATTTGATATGGTTTAGAAAGCGCAAGAAAAACACTTATACTAACAATATCGCATTAGATATGAAATTGTCTTAGAACAGCTGCTTCAAACAAAAGGGAAAAAATCGAAGAGAACTTATGCAACAACCTAATACAATGCTGAATATTTTTTCTAAAGTTTTTTTTCAAAGCGCTTGCAGCAATAAATAATGTAAACCTTTTACATCTTGGTTACTTTGGATTATTTGATCAGCGGGACTTTGAGCAAGTAGAATGACGGATGAAGAATACCGGCGCTTGCTCAAAAACAATTGAGCGGTTCAGTCAAACTAAATCCGCTCTTTACGATTGCTGCGGCGGCCGCTAGTGCAATCTTCGGCTTCACGACCGCAACAGCTGCAGCCGTCGCTAAAGCGCTTCAATTTTTGGTTGTTTGCTGCTGTAAATCCTGATATTTAAAGTGCTTTTTCTTCTTCTCTAGCTTCATTTATTTATTTATTTATTTATTCATACGCACTTAGGCGTGCTATCAATCTAACAAAACAGCTAACATGAGGATACTAAGTAGAGCCGCGATGAAAATGAAGTAGTAAACACAAAATAAAACAGAAAAAAAAACCACCGAATATCTTTTTCTGACCGGCACATAAAGATACAACATATGGGTGGGACCAGAAATAAGCAGAAAGGACATACTACCGAGTAGTGTAAATTCTAGACTAAAGAATTTACATGTGTGTACAATTATGTGCTAATAAGTTACGGATTGTATAATGGTCGTCTTTCACATTTCACGGTTTAAAAAGCTAGCGGCATATTATGATGACCGCTCTGAACACATTGAAAAATTTTGCGCTAAAGGATTGTGTTGCTCCTTACTCAAAGAAATGTGTAGGAGAGCTAGCATTTTGCGACACACAATGGTGTGGTCGAGCTGCTTGAAAGAAAGGTCAGAAAAAGATTTGTCTTCACTTGTAAAATTTTATCGGCTTGGAAGTGCCCTCTCGGAAAAATTCCCTTTAATTCCTGTTTTGTAGCAGTTCGATGTTCGTAATATTGCCACAATCTATATTTGGGAAATTCGAAATTTTTCTCGAATATTCGAATATCGAATATATTCGAGAATTGAAAATTTCGAATATTCGAATATCGAATAATATTCGAATATCGAAATTCTCGAATATTCGACTATCGAATTTTATTCGAAAATTGAAATTTTCGAATCTTCGACTGTCGAATATTATTCGAAAATCGGAAATTTCGAATATTCGACCATCGAATATTATTCGAAAATGAAAATTTCGAATCGAATAATATTCGAATATCGAATATCATTCGTTATTCGAATTTCGAATATTATTCGGTTCTCGAATGTTATTCGATTCTCGAATACTGACCGAATGATTTACGTCATTGAGACTGCCTATGAAAGGCCAAAACACTAAGGATAAATTGTTTCATGTAATTGCTAAGAATGGACACATTCTTATGGTACAATTTACGATGGAAAAACGGTTTAGTCGTGAACTGAAGAGACTTAGGAACTCAAAAGCTACTCCTGTGACGGTTGTAAAGAGATTTTTCGTACTTCAAAGAAGATTATATACCCTCACTGATAGTTGCGATTGATATACAGCGGTCCCAACAGTATGTAGATCTGTAGGCTGACATCAATCTAGAGTATGGGGCGATTTGTCAATCGCTTTTCACTGTTTCAAAATTACCCTAAGACTGAAGCAGGTTTCAAAACATCAAGAGCCATTTCCCCAAGAAAAAGAATCAGAAGGGCTGAAAGTCTTGCTTTAGATTTCTAAAGACACTCACTTTATGTAGAATTTGCACTCGACCGTAATGTTTTTTTTTTCAAAACTTACGCCAGGTATCCTGTGTCCCCCAGAAAAGTTCCCATGTGAGCCAGCGTGCGTATGTGGTGCGACGCTGCCTTTCGCTCTTTTTGACATGTTTCTCCTGAGATTTCAACGGAACTGCCCAAGGTTAACACGTTCAAAAGTGCGAAAGGCAGCGACATGACGTGGTATCTATGGGAAATGTGCTGGGGAACAAACGATACACCGTAACAAGTGTTTTGCACCGCCTTTCGAAAATGTGATTGCCATTTAAAAAGCTTGAAAACTCGTGCGTAGTAAAATCAGCATACGTAAAATGCTGCACAGATTTTAGAACTTTTTTGGGGACAATTTTTTTTGAATGTCTTATTTTGCAGCTGGTCTATAAGCTGGAGTTCCCTACTGTGATAATCACTATAAGAAAAACATGGGTGATTCGTTTTCTGCTGTATTCATAAGCTGAAGCCATCCCTACTGGATGTTACCCAGAAATTGGCAAAAGACTTTGAGAGGTATTAGCGATCAAACTGTGTAGATACTTTTGAAACATCCCGTATACGCTATGCATATCGAATTCTCGAATATTCGGTGCTTCGAATAGCCAATTCTTATCGAATTTCCGAATATTCGGTGCTCGACGAATATTCGAATATTTGATGGACATCGAATGATCGAATGAATGACCCCCGAATATTCGACTATCGAATAATATTAGAAATTCAAAATTTTCGAATATTCGACTTTCGAATAATATTCGAAAATGAAGATTTTCGAATATTCGACTACCGAATATATTCGAAAACTGAAAATTACGAGTATTCGACTTTCGAATTTTATTCGAAATCTCAGATTTTCGAATATTCGACTTTTCGAATCATTCGCATTCGAATGATTTATTCGAATGATCGAATAATTATTCGATTCGGTCCCAAGTATACCACACTCGCATAACTGTAGTACTACAAAACGCTTCTCTCCGAGGTGGCCATCGGAGTAAATTATATGCATCACCGTAAAAGAATGCGTTGTAGCTAGTGATTGCAAAACTCGCACTACTTTTTCAACTCATTCCGGACGAGAGCTCTAGATGTAATTTCTTCAAAAGTCACTTATCTGCATTGCACAGAGCAGAGGCAATGATATGAATGTGTTTATGCTCAAGATTAGATTTTTGACCGGGGAATCCGTTTATGATGGAAAAATTCAGAACTTATGCGAACTACAAAAATATATGCTCCAAACAATCTTAGATCGTCTGGTGCCGTCTGGAAACGGACTAGTTTTGCATTACTTCACATAAGTTTACAGAAATCTCTACATAGTTCTTCTGTAAATGATATCCTATGCCTACAATTCATATTTGATATCATATGCTTGTCTCTACGCTGTAAACAAGCAATTCCTCAACTTTGCTTTGCTTTCAAATCGCGTGTTTTTCGCAAGACACGATGGAGCTCGTTTATCACGTAATAACCTGTCTTCAAAAAATGTGCTTGACTCAACAAGAAAAGGTTCCCGAGTTAGCTCGGCCAATCCGAATGAGGCATAATGAAGTGCTGCGAACGCTGTTCCAAATCTGTTGTTTCTATCTGCGAAGCGGTTCTCTAGAAGGGGTTTTGGGGGTGCTTCCTTCCGGGGTTAAGACGACGCCCTTCAGCATGAGCGGAATGTGCATACTCTCTGAGCAAACCTTCATGTAAGACAAATTAAATGGCTTTATGGTCTCTAAATGAGGTCCACGAATCATGAGATCCATTGTATACTCTTCTACATCGCACGTAGGCAAATATGGGCATGTTGCCTACGAAGGGCGCCTCGACCCCAAGGGAAGCATCCCCCATAACTCCTCCTGCAGAATCGTTCAGCAGTTAGAAACGACAAATTCGGAATCAGCGTTTCAAGCACTTTACAACGATTTATGCCCCATCCAGATTGGCCGAGCTGACTTAGGAATATTTTCCTGTCAATGATCGCTTTTTGGCAACAGGAATGTGTTGAATTGTCTTGAACACTGTATGTGCAGTTTCCTCTCCATACTTCGCTAGTAATGCATGTATATAATTTTTTGGGGCTCCGCCCAGAACACCGTAAAAACGATATCCCCTTCGCTTTTCGTCCAAAAACGAAGTCCAACCTGCTTACGTACAGTTTGTGCAGGTCCCTGTGCAGGTCCCTCGACATTGCTTGTCATGTCAGAGTACGTCACCGGTCAACTCGTGGGTGAGCGGAGCGCAAAAAGAAATTTAGATCCGTTATCTCCATTTCATGCAACATCAAGGGATTGGACCAGCGCGGTTGGTCTACTTTTAGGGCCTGCTAGTAGGATGAGTAGTCATATAAGGAAAATAGATTTTAGATGGACGATGCCTTTGAGCTCATACATACTGAGCGTTCGATTAGTTACGTGCCTGAGATGTAGAACCGTTATAGATCGACTTGCAGTTCTATTGCATTATCGAGGAATTATGAAGAAACTAAGCTCTCACTATAAAACCCTGTATAATGCTTGTCAGCAACGTTCAAATCAAAAGCGAACTTAGCTCAAGCTTACATGAAATAATCACTTCGACGCTTGTACACTTTCGGCCGGGTAACGTTTGAGTAATAAACCGCACTTTGATCTTTTGCAAAATTATAAAACCCTGTATAATGCTTGTCAGCAACGTTCAAATCAAAAGCGAACTTAGCTCAAGCTTACATGAAATAATCACTTCGACGCTTGTACACTTTCGGCCGGGTAACGTTTAAGTAATAAACCGCACTTTGATCTTTTGCAAAAAAAGCAAGCCACCAGCCAAATGTTGACATGGTTGCAGAGATCAAAAAAGATCGACATATCTGGGATGACAAGTACAGGTCCATAGCCTCTTGATAATTCGAAACAATCACAGCCTAAAAAGCATATGCCGTTCATACTAACAATTACTATAGAATGGTCAATTGACTCACATCGTTCTTCCATCCACCATCTTTTATAATAACTTGTGACATATTGATCATGACTTGCTGATCATCTCCAAAAAGTAAAAAGCTTGACATGTTCTAAAAAAATGTATAGCGACCATTCCGCCGTTTGCTTTCACCTTCTTCTTAGCCAGTGCATTGACAGCTTTCACAGTTTTGTTTACGTCAGTGTGCCATTTATGTCTAATGAAGTCCGTCGTTCGGACGTGTAGGCACATTGAGTCAGAATGCCTGAATAGGGAATTCAATCAAAAGAGTAATACAATTAGTCATTTTCTACCTTTGCAAAGAGTGTGTTATGATGCTTCCATTTGATTTCATTTCTTCTGAGAATTGCAGAACAGCACGTAGTTCAGCAGCATAGTCCTCAAAATACCTGACATTCTGGGCAAGAATAAAGTCCAGCAACAAATACTGATCGGCAAAATTTTTCAGCCTTAAGGTCAATTCTGCCAGCTTAGAACAAGAACATCCATGCTAAAGACACAAACCTTGATGGATCAGCGTAAGAGTTATTCTCTCTCACGAATTTTACAACTCTTTGCTTGGTTCCATTCTGCAAATGCTGGTTTTTAGTAATCAATTTAATTGTCCCACTTCTCTATACTTTGTATTCTTCAGTGAGACGGTCACGTGATCAGTACATATTCAAAATAAAGGACAACGTACCTTCGCAAGAACGTAGGTTCTGTTTAAAAGAGGAAAAACTCTTTCTAAGTAAGTTAGGTACTTCTCGACGTGTGCTCTATGCTCTTCGAATGGCAAGTAATGTATCCTGTCTATAGTCCTAGCAATGCCGTATCCAGAAACCAGGTGGAAAAGCTTAAGAATAACATATTTTAGATTTAAATAGGTCTACCATTTATAAAAACGGGTAAAATTTTCCTAAGCGAGAAGGAGAAGGAGTGCAAAAGCACCGATTACGCAAAAAAAATTTGGGGTCTTACAAAGTTATCTCGATTTCTGCAGGATGATTATTTTGAAAATTTGCAAAATAAGAAAATAAGAAAAATTTCCCTGGATAGTTTCACGCTCATGCAAGTTTTCAATGCCTCCGAAATTTTATTTTGAAGCCAAATTTCAGATTAATGAGTGCTTCAGAAAATAGACCTAAGCCCTAAGAAACTTTTCATACTTCTTTCTCAGCCATCATTCAAATACGCACACAATCCTCCACTAAATTATTGGCCGAAAATCGGCAGACACAATCGCTCGCTCATTATTGCGTATAGTTCTAATCTACACACCTCCTTCAAAAGTAGACGCATGAAAATCTATGATTCATTGAAAAAATCAACCTACAAAAAATTTATAAGAGGCTCGTTGATTCTACCCATGCTTGGCTTCTAGAATAGCTTTGAGAAATTTTTAACGCACATGCACATCACAGTGTGTCTTTATATGATAACCAAGTGGGAGGTTTGCAGGATATTAAGAAAAATTTATTTTTTTGTTTTTTTCTAGCTATTGTTTTCTCTCTCAAATAGCAACACATGCTATTCATTATTTACTCTGCGGCTGCTGAAAAACGCTTACTAACTTTGAAAGAATCACAAAAGGCCTTTTCTTCGAAATTGGTTCGAATAAAAAGAATGTCGCCTTACTTGTCTTTCTATATCAGCGCTACAAGATGGACTTTACGAATGTGTGAAAGGTGCTCTTAAGTTTAAGAAAGCCTTGAACTCATGCAACAAGTTTAATCCACGTGAGGAATTCAGCCGACAAATCTTTGCGAAGCAGAACGCGTCAGACCTTAACACGTTCCGGACGGCGAAATCGCGCGCGGCAAAAAAGAGTATACTTTCAGCTGTTAGCCAACAAAGAGACCTTACTTTGCAAATTGTGGGCTACATCTGTAGTCAGCATATCAGCTAAGCTTCATACCCAAAGTTCTGAATGAATTCAAAGTGCTTGAATTTTGTCGCTTGAAAGGGACTTTTGTGCTTTCTTGAAGGATGGGAACAAGCTCACTTCAAGTAGTATTCAAAAGTATCTATGTTGTACATGGTACACATCATTATTGGAAACACGGTTTTCAACTTTGAAATCGGAGGAGGGAAAAGTTGCGACGTAGCACGCGTCGTTCGCGTTGCCGCACTTTGTTGCAACTGTTGTTCGATTTGTCCTCATATCTCCTATAGGCCGTCCGCGCAGGGCGCGGAGAGTGCGCAAGGTGTGTATTGCGCGTCACTCCTCTTTCCCCGTGCACTCTCGCCGCCTGTTTTTCTCTGCGCTTCTTCTATCTTCGACGGACGCAACAGCGTTGCTCTCCGCGCGCGGCGCGGACGGCCCATAAACATCTATCAAAGGAGGAGAGGGAGCTGCATCGATTGACACCCTAGATAATTGTCGTCTGATGTTCCATGAGGATTGGGGTGTCAAATATGGAAATCATTAGCATCGTATAAATATTCTCAAAAATTCTAAGAGCCAGCTGATGTCAGAAACTTTCATAACATTGCACTTTGTTTACTCTACTCAACTGTCTGTAAGTACTTTCAGAATCCAAAACAAAAGTTCAAAAAAAAAATAGCAAAAGTTAGGGTAGGTATAAAAACCATGGTTGAAGATTCTACGATTTTCCAAGCGAACATCAAAGGAATCCGGATAGAAGCATTACCGCTGGAAATAGGATCAAAATTTGCATGGAATCCTTATCAAAGAGTTTGTCTATCTTTATGAATGATTTGAGGATAGGTCCAAAAAGGCAACTTTTAGATCCGCCTAATATATAAAATTTATTATCTTGGATGTCTTTAGGCTGCAAACAAGCTTTTTTTTCTGTTGAGAACTTGTAGCCTTGAGCTGGGAAGTTTTTCATGATGCATTGATGTCTTCTTCAACATCAAAAATCATGCAGTACAACTCGTAACTTACAACATGACTTACATGATAAAAAATGATTTTCTGGTTTCTACCTTGAAGTTGAGCTGACAAAATGTTCCCTATTTGGGTGTTAAGAGGAGCAAAGTATTTGTCTGGTAACAGGCTCGCACTTGTGCTCACGTTTTGTAGACTTTCATTAGTCAAAACTGCCCTATGCCCAGATGTATAAGCCGCACTTTTTCAAATTTTTCCACAAGCTGCTCAACCGCGTCATTGTGTTTCGAAAAGCGATTCTTAAGCCGCACGATTCTTTCAGGCAAGACGCAGCACGGCGTAGGGTCCTTTGGTTGCCAGTCCTTTGATGTGTTCTGGCTGGTCGATGTAAGCTAGGACCACCCCGCGACTTTTACACCTAAAAATAGGATAATAAGGGAGGTATCTGTTTCAAACGCCAATTCCGTTTATGCTATTCCTAGCTGCGGCGCACCACTCAAAGCGAATTATGAGCTGCTGTGCAAGATGGGCATACTACTCAGCATGGGAATACTGCTTGTAAATAGGAATCTGCCCGAAAAATGTGCTGGGAATCGAAATAACACCAAATTGAATCTTTTGTCACTGACAAGAGGCTCAATGCAAGTTTTAAGACACCTCGATGATAATGTTGTGTTGCTAGTGAGTCGCTTAGCATGCAAATATTTTACAGAAAAAAAATTTAGTAACGCGGTTCAAAATAACTCGCCGCAGAGAGATAGCGTAATTGGAATCAGCGTTCAAAAAAATTTAAAATACATACTTTTTTTCGAAAGGCTGAGCTAAGTTAGGTGCCTTCCCTTGTTGAAAAAAATATCAGATTTCATACAAGCATACGCTGACGTCCTCCCGCAAAAATCCCCATTTACAACGTTCTTTCTGGTAGCGACCATTTATTAGGCTGTAATATAAGCCTTGTTACACTTTAACTGCTCACGGCAAAAAGTCGCATACATCACAATTCTAATAGGGCTTCGAAGTACCATTTTATAGAGCAAAGCAAGCTTTACATACATGCGTTATTCGTCCTCAGAGAGACTTAGTGATTGGAAAAACTGAATGCGTTGAAGACATCGAAGAAGCCTGATGCTATTGTCTACGCTGATAACTCTGTGTCGCAATTGTGGTGCTCCAAATCTTATACTCGAGAAAACTGAATGCGTTGGAGATGAAGTTGAAGACATCGAGGAAGCCTGATGCTATTGTCTACGCTGATAACCCTGTGTCGCAGTTGTGGTGCTCCAAATCTTATACTCGAGAAAACTGAATGCGTTGAAGATGAAGTTGAAGACATCGAGGAAGCCTGATGCTATTGTCTACGCTGATAACCTTGTGTCGCAATTGTGGTGCTCCAAATCTTATACTCGCTGCTGTCTGTGCATCTCATTTCGATTATGTTATTGTAATTGTTATTGTAAAGGCTGCTTGAGAAGATCAAGTGACATTTGTTAATAAATCTCATGACGTAAGACTGGGTTTTACTAGCAGAAAAGTAGCAAATGTGAGAAATGGGACCCAAAGAGACCAAGGGCTAAGTGAAAAGGAAGACTTGAGAGAGGACAAAGAGGACGCAAAAAATTGTTAGTAAGGGCGTAGGCCGCGTGCTTTGAACGCGATCGGGACATTATGGTGTCTTCCGCTGGTGTCCCGATTTTGTCCGGAATGTGTCCGTCGGGACACCTGTTTTTTCTTTAATTCAGAAACAAAATCAGGACACCTGATTTTGTCCCGACACCGTTGCGCAGGCATTCCGTGACGACACCCCATTTTATCCTGCACGACTCAACCGCGAAAGTCTTAGTCGTGCTGTTCAACGGCATCGCTTATGCGACGTCGCGCACGCGGCAATTAGCGGCGGCGCGGCGTAGCGCGCGCGAACTCTGCTGTGCGTTGAGGCTTATGAGAATTACTCCCCAGTGAATCAGATGTATAAAGTAATAAGCATGATTCAACCTTCTTTTGCTTGCACTTGGAATCTTTTTTCGGGGCTCGGCCCTGGACCCCGCAAAAACGATTTTCCTCTTGCTTTTCCCACCAAAAACGATTTCCAGCTTGTCATTTGCCCACCTCGTGCCGGGCCCTGGGTGCAAACCTACGGTAGGTCGAAGCTGGTGCGAACTTTCGCATGGTGTCTTGTAGAGCTTCCACTTCTCTTCTCATCCTTGCAAACGAACGGTCGGCTAGCTCTTAGCTCAAACTTATACCATCCACCAGGGATAGGATTAAAAAGGTAGAAGAAACCGTGGCTGGTCCACCCCGTCTTCTGAGTCGAGATGTAATGGATCAAGATCGCGACGTCATAAGAATGCGCTGCTTGGCGCAAGCAAGAATGGATTTTTGTTATCGAAGCGATCGAGTTCGAAGCAGTGTAACTCAAGCACTCATCGCGGTATCCTTCATATAACCGCTGAAAACGAATAATGATGTATGTAGAGTTGCTTTGCTCTATAGAATGGTACTTCGAAGCCCTATTGGAATTGTGATGTATACGACTTTTTGCCGTGAGAAGTTAAAGTGTAACAAGGCTTATACAGGGTGTCCCAAAAAAATGTATCGAGCGTTTGATCGTTAATATTTGTCTTCTAAAAAAGTCTTTTCCCTTGCTTCAGGTACCAACCTGTAGAGCTGACTTCAACTTAGATTTGCATTATAGAACGAATCACTCATTTCTCTTCATTACTGTAGGATTACGGTAGAAACTTCAAAAAGGGTTTTAAGCAATGATAGGCCATATATTGCCTCACAAAAGAAACAAAACAGCCTTGAAACTTTTACACTAGGTTAATTAGAGTTGCTGATTATAACTGTAAAGTTCCCAACTTGTTATGATCTTTATTGAAGAGTTATACCAGGTAAGAGGTAGCGGCCATTTTTTCAATGTTCTTAAAAAGTGCGGTTAAACCGTTTAGAAAGCTTCGTAATCTTGTGAATAGTTGAGTATTGAACTCAGCGTCCATAAAAACCCGATTACACATGTTTTCACACTTTTTTGAAAATTTTTGAAAAGGCAGCTTTTTCCACATTGACACCATATGCTTCAAGTTTCTACCGTAATCCTACAGTAATGAAGAGAGATGGGTGATTCGTTTTATAATGCAAATCTAAGCTGAAGCCAGCTCTACAAAACGGAATCTGAAGCAAGGCAAAAGACTTCTTGGGAGGAGAGATATTAACGATCAAACGTTTGATACATTTTTTTGGGACACCCTGTATTACAACCTAATAAATGGTCGCTACCAGAAAGAACGTTGTAAATGAAAGGGATTTTAGAAGAGGACGTCAGCGTATGCTCGTATAAAATCTGATATTATTTCCAACAAGGGAAGGCACCTAACTTAGCTCAGCCTTTCGGAAGAAAAGTATGTATTTTGAATTTTTTTTGAACGCTGATTCCAAGTACGCTATCTCTCTGCGGCGAGTTGTTTTGAACCGCGTTACTGAATTTTTTTTCTGTAAAATATTTGCATGCTAAGCGACTCACTAGCATCACAACATTATCATCGAGGTGTTTTAAAACTTGTATTGAGAATCTTGCCAGGGACAAAAGATTCGAGGTGTTATTTCGATTCCCAGCACATTTTTCGGGCAGATTTCTATTTACAAGCAGTATTCCCATGCTGAGTAGTATGCCCATTTTGCACAGCAGCTCATAATTCGCTTTGAGTGGTGCGCCGCAGCTAGGAATAGCATAAACGGAATTAGCGTTAGAAACAGATACCTCCCTTATTATCCTATTTTTAGGTGTAAAAGTCGCGGGGTGGTCCTAGCTTACACCGACCAGCCAGAACACATCAAAGGACTGGCAACCAAAGGACCCTACGCCGTGCTGCGTTTTGCCTGAAAGAATCGTGCGGCTTAAGAATCGCTTTTCGAAACACAATGACGCGGTTGAGCAGCTTGTGGAAAAATTTGAAAAAGTGCGGCTTATACATCTGGGCATAGGGCAGTTTTGACTAATGAAAGTCTACAAAACGTGAGCACAAGTGCGAGCCTGTTACCAGACAAATACTTTGCTCCTCTTAACACCCAAATAGGGAACATTTTGTCAGCTCAACTTCAAGGTAGAAACCAGAAAATCATTTTTTATCATGTAAGTCATGTTGTAAGTTACGAGTTGTACTGCATGATTTTTGATGTTGAAGAAGACATCAATGCATCATGAAAAACTTCCCAGCTCAAGGCTACAAGTTCTCAACAGAAAAAAAAGCTTGTTTGCAGCCTAAAGACATCCAAGATAATAAATTTTATATATTAGGCGGATCTAAAAGTTGCCTTTTTGGACCTATCCTCAAATCATTCATAAAGATAGACAAACTCTTTGATAAGGATTCCATGCAAATTTTGATCCTATTTCCAGCGGTAATGCTTCTATCCGGATTCCTTTGATGTTCGCTTGGAAAATCGTAGAATCTTCAACCATGGTTTTTATACCTACCCTAACTTTTGCTATTTTTTTTGAACTTTTGTTTTGGATTCTGAAAGTACTTACAGACAGTTGAGTAGAGTAAACAAAGTGCAATGTTATGAAAGTTTCTGACATCAGCTGGCTCTTAGAATTTTTGAGAATATTTATACGATGCTAATGATTTCCATATTTGACACCCCAATCCTCATGGAACATCAGACGACAATTATCTAGGGTGTCAATCGATGCAGCTCCCTCTCCTCCTTTGCTAGAGTTTTTCTTTTCTGACTCGTAAAGGCCTCGAGGAAAAAAACTGCCATAATATTAGTTTTGTGATGTGTCCCAGGCTGCATTCAAAAATTTCAAAAATTAATCTTTCGAGAAGGTAAAGACTCATTTTTTTTTCTGGATTAGCGTTTAATCGTAATCGATTTTTAGAAGTTTTAATTTGCGAAGATTTCATGATGATAAAGCGCTTATAAATTTTGCGACTTCGCAAATGTGAAGATTTTTGGAAAACTTGTTTAAAAGTACTGGAAAGCCATGTATCGATACCAAGGAGTTGGGTATTATAGCATTTTTGGTTTATTCTATCCAATTGTTGAAGCGTCTCCAAAAGCTCAGAACGAAAATCGTAAAAGAGCTAAAGTTAGGGTACGTAAAATGCATGGTTCGGAGATTGTGGCAGTTATTCGAAAGAACATTGAAGAATACAAACAAGTACGTTACGGATGGAAAGAGGAAGAAATTCTGCATGGAACATATTTAGAATGTTTGTTTACCTTTATAACGAATGATTTAGCATGAGTCTAAAAAACGGCACGAAATTTCGGACCCTCCTAGTAAAAAGCTGAATGTCTGTTTGTATATGTGTCAGTCTGTCTGTCTGTATGTAATAGAAATTTTTATATCTGAATTGATCTGGATCAAACTAGGCACGGCTCTTGGGCCATTAATAAACAAGTACAACGAACTATAACTTAGCTACGAGGAAAACCTTCGGTTTGACCCCTCAGCAGGGTAAGCTTCGATCAGTACTTGAGCTCTATTCGGTTGATATTTGAGGGGAGGTCTGGCTCTCTTCTGACCAACTCGTTCCAACTCCCGTAAGCCTCTTCTGCTCACGGCTCCCCTTTTCCCACCTTTTTTCTACCCTGCTGTATGGTCAAATGGTCTTCCTTTCCCGCCACCAAATATTAGTAAATAGGTGATCCTTTCCATCCAACATTATCGATTTTATCGATTTCTTGCAAGTTTTGAGCTTTGGTGCTGGGAGTTGGCGCGGGGGGAAAAGGTAAGTGGGCATGCTTATTACAAATACGACCGGGATAGTAAATTGCAACGTGAAAGACACAAAAGGCACAAAAGATTGTACAGTGATAGGTAACCTGACCTTTATCAGGGATCTTTATCATAGGATTTTGACAGAGCCGGGCGGAGCCGAGTAAGCCAGCTATTAGGTTGTCAGGAACTTAATGCAGGTTTTGCATATTCTCACTGTAAAGCGTCATAACTCCTTTGAAATCGCATATTTTGAAATGAGGTAAAAACTATTGTGATCAGCAAGTCTCTTTCTATTTGCTCCATTTCTTTCGTAACTGTAGCTCCAACAAGCAAATTACTGAAAGCCAGAAAGTAAAAAGAAATTTTTTTGACAAGGTCATACTTGGCAAGTTGTGAACTCCTACCGAATATGAGGGTTCAGCCAGAAACTTCTGCAGCTTATAGCCACGGACCAGTACTACATATATAGCTATGCAGAAAATTTTTTAGAAATTTTCCGCGAATGAAAAATTTGCGGAATCAAAATTTTACATTTTTTAATATTTCCTCCACGGCTGCGACTCCGATAATTTTGATTTTTTCATTAGCTCACCAAAAATAAAGCCTGGGAGGTACCAGTTGAAATAATATCTGACGGCACTGGCCTCACTCTTCAAGCACGAGGAGAGACTTTCACGGTTGCTTTCTTTGAAAAAGTTTTCTACGCCATGGAGTGGCCGCGACAATTATTCCTGAGAGTAGAGAAACTGAAGCCTCAGTTTCTCTACTCTCACAATCGTTCAAAAGAAGCCCTGCTATCTATTTTGTAGGTTCAGTCAATATCTTGCTTCAGCTATATTATTATGAAAATATCCCTCTTGCCGATTAAGTTCAAGCCGAAATAGTGCAAAAGGTAAACTTAGTAATTTAAAGCTTCATCTTCGGATGGTTGTAGATTTTGAACAGATGAAGTTGGTTGTAGAAGTAATACATATAAGAGAGAACATGAAGAGCGGCTTCTTTTATATGCGAAATTGGTCGAAAGATGCACATAGACAGCAGAACAATCTTTTTCAAATTGCATTTGCAAAAACCTGCATTAATTTCCAGACAGACAACGTAATAGTTGATGATAAGATAAAATGGAATTGATTTTTCAGGCTGAGTCAAAATTAGTAATTTTAATCAACTGTTTGTAAATCTGAATGCAGAGCAGTCATTAAGCAAAACAGCGTGCAAGTGAGGTTCACGCTATGATTTACTTAATGCTAAACAACAAATGCGCCACATGTAAAGATGAAAAGTCGGGGACTTTGTTGCATAGCCTGTTATAAACCTTAAGTTACCTGATTTCCAAGGCGGCCGATGTTCAAGTGAAGTCCAACATACTTTTTCTGTTCGACGGACGTACGGTCTGAAGTTGCATCCAGTAAACGTAAGGAAGAATGAAAACATCAGCGGGTTCAATTTGTCAATTAAGAATACGTTACTTGTAATTGAGATTGAAGATTTGTTCGATGTGCTTTTGCAAGCAATCGTACTTCGCGTTATTCATGCTATCTAATCATCCATCACACCCAAGATAATAACAGTCACAAGTTTCTCCATTATGGCATGTAAGATATTAAATTGTCAAGCCAGGTAGTTATCTCCTACCTGGCAGCATCATAGATGCCGACAAGTTGGCACTAATCACGGAAAGTTGCCAAATTCGGCGTTACTCACGATTGGTTATAGCCTTTGATAGCTTTATGTTATCCTAGTCGCAATCATATCTGCACAAGTATTTTGGCTATGCAGCCCGCTGTAGAATCTTTACATCGCTCGTTCTAACCTGCACTCATCAAAATCGATAGCGGGCGCGCTACCCAGTAGACCACGAGAGCACATTCTACTTTGAAGACAAAGATAGGAAGGCACAGGCAAGCGACGCTTGCAAGAGGGTATAATCAATTCTACCGTTTGGGTAAGACTTCAACCCTAAAAACAGCTGTCGAGAAATAAACGCAAATTTGTTGGACAAATAAATTCAAAATTGTTGAAAACTTGATAATGGAGGAAAAAGAGACAATGCTCACTAACGTTTAGTGAAGGAATTGATTTATTCTTTATGCGTAAGTGAATTCTATACAAGGGAAACCCTAATAATGGGAAAAAATAACAATTTCAATTAGAAATTTCGGTATTCCTGGCTGAGATGTAAATTATGTGTTATGCCGTAATTCTGAAGAGGCCGCCAGCAAGGTGCCAGCACCTCGACATAGTAGGGGCATGTCGAGATGCCACACCTCGCTCTTTCAAAAGAGCACACCATTTCTCGTGCTCTCTGACCTGCCGGCCGGCAGCTGCCACCTCGCAATTGCCTGCATCTCCTTTTGTGCTGCTCAATATTTTCCCATAGGGAAAATATTGAGCAGCACAAGAGAACTTTACACCTCGACGATGCTTCTCAAAAATCGCCTTGGCATCTTCCTCGAAAAGTCCTAAAAAAGGCTTGATGTGGCTTAGAACTAAAATCTTAGTTCTTGGCGGCGTCAAGTCAAAGTGCCGGCGGCCTAACGGCTAGGTCGGAGGATTACTACCGACCCAAATAATTTTCTTCCCACTCTTCAAACTAATTTTCGAGAATCTCAGAGGCTTTACTAGATATCATGGTCACGGCGTGTGGGCATGGTTAAGCCCTATCCATGAATAAAGCCGCATCCGCGATTCGTGCGTAAAACGTCCCTGCCTGATCCGCTTTGTGGCTAAAAATCCGTTTTGTTCAAATTTCAATGAGTTGGCAATCTTCCAGGTGACAAGCGAGCAGCCGGACAATGTGGTGATCGGGCAGTCAACAGTCTTTAGCAACTCTGCGAAATGACGCAGACATGCCCATACAAGTTTGTTTAATCAGTGTGCGCCATCCCTGCAATTACTCACATTCTGACAAGGGAAGTCTTTAAAATTAAAAAATTATCTTCAAGCTTTCTGTATTCATTTCTACACGATGCTCATGAAAAGAAGAATTTAGGATATTTGAATATTTTTGATAGATTTATCACCCCTCGTTTTTAAAACGTAAAGGCAACAGTGTGCTCCATGTAAGATATACTGCCTAGAGATATGTAGAGAAGAAATCATTCAAAATTTAATTGTGTCTACAACTGCTTAAACTTGTCCGTCATTCTGCGTCTGCGGCACTAGTCATGCTGGTAGGCCCTGCTATGTCCTAAGCGGATCTCAAATTTGGGGTTTTCAAGGAGTTTTTAAATTTTTCGGGAAAGAAAAAAGTTTGCTAGAACTAAGTGAAGCAAGGTGCAACCTGAATTCATATGAGTTTTGAAGGAGTAGACTAAAAGCTTTTCATAACACCTCTGTTGGTAAGCTAGTCAGAAAGCAAGTATTTGAGTAGCATAGATGAATGCAGAGGCTTGCAGTGTATTTCCCACCTTCGCTGAACTTCCTCCATTCAATTTAGCACATTATCTTTTGGAGCATAGTACACTGCGGGCAAAAAAGTCACATTTACGAAACTTTTTGGCGTAAATTTAGTAACTGGACTCCAAAAGTCCAAGTCATGGAGTTCGCTCAAACTTGGTCAAAAGGACCCACTGATGCCAAGATAGTCTTTTCTCAAAGCATCATTTTTTAGAGCTAAGGTATACGATGGCTTAGATAAAACTTTTGCCGAAACTTGGTATAGAAGAATTATTTGAATACGTCATGGAGTCAAAAATCGTAACGGGTAAAACGTTGCACAGCGAGGTAATCTAACTGCTGATGAGTCATCAACAATCAGATAAACTCTCTGCGCAACGTTTTACCCGTTACGATAGTCATCAGCAAGGGGTGTGGCACACAGGGTTGAGCAAGAGGTGTGGCACACAACCGCCAGATAGGACCCCCCCCCCTCTAAGTTCTGCCTCGATACACCCCCCCCCCCTTTTTTTTGCCTGCCGTAAGCATGACATAAAGGTTTATCTATTAGGTTGTCCCGAAAGTTCGTTCGCACCATTTTCAAAAAATCATAACTTCTGTGTATGATAACGATTTTGCACAGTTTAAATTTTATTAGAAAGCGTAAAGCATTTTGTTTTCAAAGGTCCCCTGGTGACTTTCCAGCATGTTCAGATTGCAGAGATAAAAATGAAAGAACGAGAACATCCAAAATTCGGAATTTTTGAGCAAAAATTCTAGAAATTCAGAAACTGTACGATAAAATCTAGAAAAGCCATTATCATAATTTTTCTTATATTTGATTACTAACTGAGTTAAGTTTGTGCTGATCGAGCTCTTCTTTCAAAAGTTATAATTTTTTGAAAAAAAAATGCCAAAAAATTAATTTCTTAAGAATTCTTAGGAAAGTTTTTCGGAATTTTTTTCAAAAAATCATAACTTTTGAAAGAAGAGCTCGATCAGCACAAACTTAACTTATTAAGTAATCAAATATAAGAAAAATTATGATAATGGCCTTTCTGGATTTTATCGCGCAGTTTCTAGATTTTTAGAATTTTTGCTCAAAAATTCCGAATTTCGGATGTTCTCGTTCTTTCATTTTTATCTCTGCAATCTGAACATGCTAGAAAGTCTCCAGGGATTATTGAAAACTACATGCTTTACGCTTTCTATAAAATTTAAATTGCGCAAAATCGTTATGATGCAAGGAAGTTATGATTTTTGAAAATGGTGCGAACGAACTTTCGGGACAACCTAATAGCATGATTAGTAACATGTTTGTGATTATCATGTCAAAAAATCCCTTTAGCAAACTTTGGAGTTTCCTAATCCTGGGCCACCCAAGTAAAGTGGCCATTTTGAAACATGATTAACTATATTTCAAAAGAAAATTATCTACCTCTCCTCAAACTCAATACAAAACCCTACTCCCTATCAGCCTAAACCATAAATTATGATTCGAATAACCTTCAAACAATGGAATTAAGAGCCAGCCAAAATCTTGTTTGACCCATTCGCTAGCAGGGGTTGTCCTTTCAGCAACTATTGCTCAAACAAAGAAAAAACGAATCAGCTCTAATCACTTCTACAGAAATTACGAGATTTTTGCTATCGAACTGTATCTAAGTTGTTCCCTAAACTTCTTTTTAAAGGTAAGTTAATAAGATATGGCACAACACCCAAACAGCTGTGGTGGCCGTAGCTTTTTAGGGGTTGTGCCACACCTCATTAACTTACCTTCAAACCATTCAAATGTCTGCGTTTTTTATATGCTATTGCTCAACCTTGTTCTTTACATAATAAAAAAATCATTTGAAATCATAACTTTTAGTTACAGTGCCTACCTGACTTTGTTAACGAATACTGTCATCGCTAACATCAGCTCACCTTGATAACGACCCCCCCCCCCTCCTCCCCGACTATCAATACGATTCCCCAGATGTGGCATGCCACACCCCACGCTTGACCCTGCCGATGACGAACATGATGCTCTAATTGCAATAACGAACTATTGTAAAGTAAGTCGGTCATGAGTGCAAAGTCTGCAACCTCGCTGGAAATTGATCACGGTTATTACATCATAGTAGTGGGAAAGGGTGATGTTGATGATGATTTATCAATTCAGTATTAATTGCTGTTCACTACATCATTAATGGGTGATTTTAATGCAATTCAACGTCCGCACTCTATATCCTGCAATTTCTACCTTTCATATCAGTAGCAGGTGTCTAGTTGTACCCGATTGATTGCTGATTCATATGCTCTTCCAACAGCATTCCTTAGACCACTGCTTACAACTCTCTAATAGCATACAAACAACATCTTTTGCGCTTTATTTGTGCATTCAGGAATGATATTCACGAAAGTCCTTTCAACATGTTGGCGAGTTATGGGCTTTTCGCTGCGCAAAATTGGCATACTACTGAACATGGGAAGACTGCCTGTAGGTAAAAATCTGAAAGAAAAAGGTGCTGAAATATTGAAAAAACACAAATCCATTTTTTTGCTAAAAAAGCAAAACGCAAGTATATTAGCATTTGGGAAATGATGCCGTGATGCCAGCGAGTCGATGAGTATCCCAATTTTGCCCAGAAAGTCCATAACTCGCTTCGAAATGGTGCTCGGCAGCTAGAAATAGCATAATCGGAATCAGCGTTTGAAGCTGACTCAGAATATTTATGTCTTTTGCCAGAAGGCCAAGCTAAGTTGGGTAGCTTTCCCTGTCAGTCCATGCGGTGCGATAAGATATTGCAGGAATCCATTCATTCCATATGAAAGTGCTTCAGCAAACTTTTCTTCAACTTGCCTCGACCTATTCACTCAATCTTATTTTCGCAAACTCATTTTTACCAAGTGGTCGGTATTTTAACTAGGCTGACCTAACATTACAATGTAGTCACGCGGGTATTTACTTTTTCCCATTTCGTTACTCACAAAATGCCATTTTTATCTATGACTATGCATCTGAATTACTTC